CCGCTCTATCTCCCCCCGCATCTCTGGCCTATGCCCTAGCTCTTGTATTCATAAGTAAAATAACTTCTTTTTTTAAAGTTTATTTTTACATCATTTTGCACATTTTTTTTTCATCTCCATTGTAATCCCCATGGGTTTCCCATCACCAAATCACCCCTGTGCCACCACCATAGTCCCGTGCAATAACTTTTGTTTTTTTAAAGAAAGTCTTACTTCAAGGAAATTCAGTTTTGAATATGTGTAGCAAATAAAACAAGTCCTGTAAAAGAACTTATCACCTGAACTCTCCACTGAGCAGCTTCTGTCATGGTGAAGGGATGCACAGAACTGCAGTTATTAAACCTTTTTTTTTTTTTTCTGGAAAGAAATTACTTATTGGCATCTGTTTTCTCCTATCCTACTTACTCAGAATGAAAACACTTGCCAGCTACAGCTAAAACTTGCTGAATTGATGCTGGAAAGCTAACAAGCATAGCAGAAAAAACTGGAAAACACTCCCTCAACATTAATGATCACAACTAAAAAGGCTGAATAAAATGATACAAAAGGAATACAAAAAGAAAAAGAGATACAAAAGAAAAAATAAACTAAGATAACAAAAAACATTAGGCTCTACCTTTAAGAATGTCTATGTAAATGACAAATTTGTCTGATCTATGCACAAAAAGAACTATGTGGGTAGATATTTTTAAAACTCATAGTTCTATAGATAAATGTGCTCTAATATTTAATCAACTCAATTACAAGCATGTGGTCTGTGGTAGCTGAAATGGACAGTATTATCCTGAGTGAATCCTGGCAACAAGAATCAAATAAAAGAATAAGGAAACATGCTTTATCACGATTCTACATAATTTCTTCTAATAATTTTTATAAAAGAAACAGGTCAGATTTGTCACTTGCTGCAACAGGGATGCTGAAACATTTAGGAAGTATAACAGGACAATCTCTCTAAAAAGTTGATTATTCAGTGGACATACAATTCAGAGGATGAGTAACTTGGCAAAATATTCTGATGTCTATGAAAAATCTATTGCAAAATCTGTTTTATATAAAAGGTCACCACACTTCAAAATCCAAACTGAAACAGGGTAATCATGAGGTACAATATAAATAGCACATAATTATATTTATCTAGATATATAGCCCACTTCCCATAATTATGTTTGTATTATATAAATAGACTATTCTTAATTACTTTCACTTAGACTACTAAATATTGTAAATAATACATTCAATTCTATATTTTAATTTAGCTCTTTTAAAAGTTTCTCTTGGCCTTCCCTGGTGGCACAGCGGGTTAAAGCACAATACTGAGAAGCTAAAGCCACTTCCACATGAGCTCGATTCCCACCTGCCCTGGAGGTGACCACATGGCGTGGCAGACCTTTCCTGACCTGCCCGCTGCTCCCCTCAGTAGTGTACTTCATTGATCTGCCTGTTCTGCTCCCAACTCTGTCTCTGGTAAATCCTCTCACCACCCTGCACCTCTGGCCTATACCCCAGTTCTGTATGTATAAATAAATAAATAAATCTTTTTTAAAAAAAAGTTTCTCTCAATACATACTTAACAGTACTGGACAATGTATAGGACATATGAAGTCTAAAAAATCTTAAAGACTAGCTCTTCGTACATTTAGCAAATCAAAGTCTAGTAAATCATAAATAATTTTCTTTCCAAAAATTAAAATTTTAGTAAGCTTTAAAGATTTTCCTTTTCCTGCTAATCTAGTTATCATATGAATATTCAAATCCAGGCCCTTCATGTACAAATTTCTTCATTTTTTACTATCCCCAATCAAAAAGAAATTAATAACTCAACTAAAATGTGTATGACCTCGGTCTTAAATGTTTCTCCCTTGAAAATTTATCAGTAATGTCACAATTTTTTTTTTTTGCTTTTCAATGATTTGAACACAGATTCTTCTCTGGACAAGCCTTTAGGAGAACTTTTTTTCTTCAAAGACTATTAAATTCATTTCTAATATTCTTCCAGTGTTTTTTCTTTTTTTAATGGGTAAACAAAGACAACTAAGATAAAACTCACAAAGATATTCTCACCTAATACTCTACCATAATTATATTCACTTTACATGTCAACTAAACAGCCAAACTTTAAAAAGACAATCCTGTTTTTGAAATGTCATAAGAAATTCCACAATTCAGAAAATGAATTATTTAATCACATCACAAAACCAGTCTCACAGAAATTACTATTTTTTAGCACTGGATATCATATATATATACATAAATCATATACTGTTTGTATATAACATGTTCCAAATTTTCACTGTTCAAATTTTTAGTATCTTCATGTTTTACAGATGAATTTCCCTGAAAGCTGAATGTTCATTTCTTTTTTTCTTTCATACATAATGATATAATGCATATTTTTACTTATACTGAAAAACAGCATTGGGATAAATTCCTAAGGAGAACTGCTACATGAAAGGAAAACTATAAAGTCTCCTGCTACAAAGTACAAACATATTTTTCAAATCTTAAATTAATATTTCAAAGAACTACCTGAATATCACTACTATTTTTTAAAGAGGAAAATTCACAACAAAGTTTAATAACACTGTGTATACCTCCTGATTACATAGGAAAGATCCAGCAAGACTGAGTAACTCCCCACATAACCATCTTATGTAGCTCAGTCAAGCAAAAAGTCAAGTCAGTAAAGGCATTTACTGGGGAAAGCAAAGGTCTTCTCCATTGAAAAAAATAAGGAGTTTTTTAAGTCTTCCAGGAAAAGATATACACAGAGCGAGGTTTACATACACACACACACACACACACACTCACAAACACAAACACACTCACACACACTGTTCAACAGTAACTTCTACTAGTTTTCAGAGTCCATACCATGAAATAAATCAGTAGCCAAAAACTTGTTTGAGGTATAAACTTTGGCCCATACAATCCCACTTTTGAAATGTCTTAAGAAGTTCCACAATTCAGAAGATGACTTGTTCAATTACATCATAAAACCAGTCTCACAAAAATTACTATTTTCAATAGCGCTGGATATCATAATTTAGAAACTAGCTTTGTTATTTAAATATTTACCCATGTAAAATTGCTTAAAGGTACAGTTCTATGAATAATTTTCTGAATTTTACTTGATATATTCTTGTGAAAATTGTACTCAGAATTTAATTTTTCAGAAACTTAAATATTTTCATATACTGGCATTGGTAGCATTTTACCATATGTAAAAGTGTTCCAGTTTGTTCTTTTACCTTTGTTTCTTTATATGGAAATTATATGGGACGTGCCTAACCTCTTTCTTGTGGTTTCTTACCAGAAGGCACTACAGACTTGTGTAAATCTCTCAGGTCTCAGTGACCCCTCTTTAGGCTAAACCTATCTGGCTCATCATTTGCCCACTAACGGATGAGTAATTTTCTAAGTTCACTGGTACTTGAAATTCTTTCTTCTCTGTCTATGCACACCAATTCTATTAAACATCACTTTAAAAATACTCTTTCAGGCCCTCCCAGGTGGCGCAGCGGGTTAAAGCACTGCACTGAGAAACTAAAGCCACTTCCGCATGAGTTCGAACCCCGCCTGCCCTGGAGGTGACCACATGGCGAGGCAGACCTCTCCTGACCCGCCCGCTGCTGCCCGCTGCTGCCCGCTGCTCCCCTCAGCAGTGTACTTCATCGATCTGCCTGTTCTGCTTCCCCTCTGTCTCTGGTGAATCCTCTCACCCTCCGCATTTCTGGCCTGTACCCCAGTTCTGTACGAATAAATAAATAAATCTTTAAAAAAAAAATACTCTTTCATTACTCACAAAAGGGATGGCCAAATCCCTTTTAGAGTGTGTACCTCTTACAGTTTGAGGCCCATGGATACAGTTGCATGCTAACAAAGTCAACTCTTCCTTTCTAGTGTTTTTTTTTTTTTAAATCTGAAAAGCTCCTATTTTCTACCTCAAAACAAAATCACTTCTATTAGCAGTTCAACTTGAAATAGTTAACTGTAACATAGTGTCTTAAAGTAATATTTATTGTTCACAATTGCTATTTCATTGTCCATCTTTCCATATTTAATAAGTTAAACCCTTCTCATGACATGGTTTTTAAAAGGATGTTTAACAGACTGGATTCTTATCTATCACAAACACTTCTCTGAACATTTTAAACTGTTTTGTTCACATCTGCTTCTGTACTAATAACTTCCTAGTTCTGAATTTTGTTTTAATATCTGATAAAGCTAGGTATCTCCTATCTTCTTATGTTTTTCACCACAATGGTTTCTTATGTTCTCATTGGCTTGTTTTCCAAGTATTTTTGACAAGCTGGGAAAATAAACTTCAGGGGTTTTGTCTATTTGCCTGTGGATTTTAGTAATTGCATCAAATTGGCATTAGCTTGGAAATAATACCTGCGTTAAAATAATATGGTATTCTTCAAGAAACATGGTATAGTTGACATTAAATTTATATTGTAAGTATATCTGTATTCTTTCAAGAATGCGTAAAGTTTTACATTGAACCTGATATTACTAATGGTATTCACTAGTGGTTTTCTCAAAAAGTACAATAGGTATTTTCCATCAGGATGCAGAATTTCACAAATCATATATTTCTGGTACTTACCAACATTATAGGTAGATAATTCCTTAATATTCTAGCATCTCTAAAAGAGATAGTAGAGGAAAGTGCTATTTTAAAAAAATTAAAGAAAAACTCCATTTTTCCCAACTAATAAATGTAATGTAAAAAACGGTGCTATTTTATTATTAATGTGAATGCCTTACTATCCTAACAGGTCATATACATTTCCAAAGTAAAAGCACAATCTTAGACAAACCTCTCTTCATCCTCAGTTACCCCAGAACTAAGATGAACACCTGAAAACATTCAATATATGTTATCGAACTGAAATGGACATACAGTATTTGCCTAATGCAGTTTCATAACTGTTTATAGAAAAATAGTATGTAGAGGCCAGGAGTTGAAATAATGAGCATATAAATTTTATTTTTACCGTCAAAACCAGAATTCAGAAGGTGCTCCCCCAGGTCACAACCAAACACCCTCTCTTTCAAGATCCCTCGCTGTTTCAGCTTCTGCTTCGTTGGACGAGACTTCATGAATGTGCGTAAGAAAGTAATGAGCTTGCCGTGCTTTTTAGACACTAAAAAACAGTAATAAAAAGAAACTATCTTAGTTGTGGCAGGTGGTTATAGTCTTAGTGTAAAAAGAACTGAGGCTGACTGCAAATCAATCCATTATGAGTATACCTTATATTCTGTAGGAAATTTTCAGCATCATGGCTTTCTAAATACCAAAAATATACACACATACAAAAGCATCAGATCATATATTAACATCCACCTATGACAGACTAAATATATCCTCTTAAGAGCTTTATAAATCAAAACAAGAGATAAATTATTGTACAATAAAATATTTCTAATGATTGCTAAACTAGAAAGGAAATAATGAATCCCTACAAAATGAGTTTTGCTAAGTAGAGTCTACAGGAAAAAATCACAAGCCAACATACAAAAAATATCATGGATTCTGAGATTACCTAGGGTATGGAGGACTACGTAACATGGCCTTACTCAGACAGTAGGTGATTACTAGGAGTCTTAATGAATTCTACTATAGATTCTTGAGTGAACCCAAATCTGAAATTCCCGGACTAATGAAGATGTATGCAGGAATTCAATGTGTTCAGAGTTAACCTGTGGCATAAGTGAACCAATAAGTGGTTTATTCCATCAAATGGGGCATTTGCCATCCATTTCTTTTCATTTCTATGTGAAACACAATTTATAGCCATAAACATCATACCCATAGACTACATGAAAGTAACCAATCGTAACTGATTTTCCCCTTTCTGGGACTTGAAACTTTTGGAGCTGAAACCATGGAAACTCCTGGGGAAACGGGGGACCACTGGAAGCTGGCCATCCTAAGATTTCACACAGATTAAATAGGTAATTTTTTTTCTATGTCAATTATTTAAATTTTAGAATCATCAGTACATTGATAGAATCTTGACAGCTAACTTACTAGTCCTGTAACTCAGTTCCTTGCTGTAAAATTAAATGATATGCTCTCTTTACTGCTGATGAGACATTTATAGCTGACTAGGATAACATCAAAAGTAAATCATGTATATTACTATATTAAAAGTTATCTGAGTTGTATCCTCCCACACTTGCTACAGACTAAGTGCTGTTATGTTGGAGAATAGAATGAGATCAAACCATTTCTGATCATTTTCAAATGTTTTCCACATGAACTTTCAATAACTTCTGACATGAGTTCAAAATATATACAAATAAGTTTGGTTTGTAAAAATGCAACACTGAATATGTAACATATGTGTGTGTACATATATAAGCATTATATAATTGTTTTTATTTTCTTTGAAGTTTTTAAAATTTTTACAGTACTTAAAATTACCCAGGAAATGGGCTTATCATCATTCTGTCAGATTTTTTATATCTTAGTTTTCTAATTTTCCTTATATGACAAATGCCATATACTTGCTTGAGATGTTGCTAGGTACTTTAAATCTGTCACTGCTTTTACAGAATAAGGCTCTTTAATTATGGCCTTAATTGGTAATTATTGGTATGCTGAAAAAAATTACTTCTTTATGTATAGTGTAAAAGAATCAGTTCATTTACTGAACTCTCGATTTTAGGAATTTTAACTGATCCTTTTGGATTTCCGGGATAGCAAATTGTGACAATTATGATAATTCTAGTCTTTTTCTGATGGGAAGAATTTCTCATTTTATTTTGGATTTTTGATAAATGGACAGCACCTCTATGACCTGTTAGTAGTAGGCATTCATAAAAAATAGTAGGCACTCATGTTTTAATGACAAATATGATAAACAAAAATACCTGTTGAATCTGATGACTGTATAATAAGAAAGCATTATTTTACTCTTAGATTTCCAAGAACATTTCAAAGGTACTGGAATTGAATGTTAACTAGTATTCATTCAGAAACAAGTGTGTAAGTGACTACTATATCTAAAGGTTTTAAGACCTAAGTTTATGGTAGGTAACAAATAAGATACATCCCTTGCTGTCAGAGCTTACTGAGAAGGAAAATAAGCAATTAAACTATAATAAGAACAACGTAGCCAGCATTTATTTTACAATTAGAAGTGTAAGCACAGGATTTACACTTCAAAACCACTTCATTTCTTATGAAACTTTATAAGGAAAATGCTATTTCTATCCCTATTTTTATATGAAGACCCTCAGGCACACAGTGCTAAGTAACATGTCTAAAGTCAGTAACAGCATTCAAAATTGGGTGATCTGGTTTGGAAAACCCAAGCTCTCAGCCACTAAATGACACTGAGTAAATTTAGAAGGTGACTTTCAGGTTGCTTTTAACTGTTTAAAAAAAAACTGCTTATAAGGAAATCAACAAAGTGAAGTGAAGGTGACTTGAAAAGAAATAACACTAGCTAGGGTGGACAAGGACAGTCTGGGAAAGTCAAGTCTAAGTTGGAAGATGTGCAGTGAGCAAAAAACAGTAGTGTGAAGTGAAGCTAAAGAGATTCACAAATCAGGTACTTGTCAGGCCATAACACAGAGTTTAGATTTCATGTAATGAGAACACAGTGAATAGTTCAATAGTTTGGAAAGGTTACTTAAAAAACAATCCAATGGGCATATTAGAAACTCAAATGTGCATTAATAAGGAATTAGTTGGATAAACTATGATACATGTACACAGATAATTACTGTTCAGCTTTTTTTTTTTAAATAAGTACCCCTGGTAAGGATAATCTCCAAAATCTATCATATCAAAATGGAATGCAGAAAACATCAGATTTAGCATCAGAAGGATTAAGTATATAGCTATCACACACATAAATTCACACAAACACATGTATGTATGTATACATACTAAGAACTAAATTTTGCAAAAAGAAACACTGGGAAAATAAACCAAAATCAACAAAAATAGATAAAATAAATTGGGTTGAGAAAGGATGGAGTGTGTGTGAAAATGATTGCTCTGATTATACCTTTTGTTGTTGTTGTTGTTAAAGAATTATTATTTATGCATACAGAACTGGGGTACAGGCTAGAGATGCAGGGGCATTGAGAGGATTTACCAGAGTCAGAGTAGGGAGCAGAACAGGCAGACTGACAAAGTACACTGCTGAGGGGAGCAGCAAGGAGACAGGAGAGGTCTGCTGTCACCTCCGGGGCAGGGATCAAACTCTCACCCAAGCAGCTGCAGCCAGCTTTGCAGTGCTATGCTTTAATCTGCTGTGACACTAGGGAGGGCCTGATTATACCTTTTTATGTAGTTTCACTTGTAAGTTCAAAAATATATTTAAATATTAAAAAAGCAAATCCTCAAATAACCTGAAAAATTTATCTAGTAGCATATCAAATTAGTAACACTCAACAGAAAAAAATATTTCAAATGGCTTATAAATAGTATATGCTTAATGTAGGGACAAAAATAATACAATAGTTTACTTCAATTGTTTACTATTGGCAATATGGTAATCTGATACTGAAACAACTTTTTACACATTTGGCAACAAATAAATACATTGTTATTGAGGAACCCAGATTTATCAGCATGTGAGAAAAGAATTAGAATAATAAAATTAAAGAGGGGACAAAAACCCTGTCAACTATGGGCAAATGTGGACACGAACTCAAAATTAAAACACTTGCACATTTCCTCTAAGCAGAAGTCATCGAAAAGACTTAGAAACAATGACACTCCTGGTACAGTGAACACCTTTCAGCTCAGATCTGAGTTTCTAAATATCAGCCTATATTAAAATGAACCAGAACTTCTTGGAGAAATGCCTGCTTTCCAGTTAATCGTAGGGAAATCACTAGGTGAGACTGGGAAATTTTGTTTTAACTTAAAGTATGGAAAGTACCCCCCTCTCATCAGGTGCTAAGCTAAAGGACAAGAGTTGAAAGGATTCCTACTGGCTTTGGGGGGAAATCATAAAGATTCCAGCATCATAAAGAATGCCTATAACTTACTATAAAACATCAAATAAATAACCACCCATGAGTCCACAGCTGTGCTCAGAAGGAGGGAGAGGGGGAGGAAAAAAGGAGGGCACACGAATCAAGCTATTACATTTAAAAAACTGCATGGGCAGTGTGCCATACTAAAGTGACTCCCCACCAGCAGAGAAAGGAATATGTTTCTTTTCCATCAAGTAACATTATCATACCAGGAATTATTGACTAAAATCAATTTTTATGCTAACCAGCAATACACATGAACACAATTCACATAAACTGCATGGAAACAGATTTATAATTATGACCCTCTAACCAACTTTCAATCCACAATTAAGTCCCACTAATTAGAGGGCAGTCGGTGTGGAATTACTTTCCACACTAAGTGGCACTGACTCTGCTTTTATTGTCCTAAGTTTGGTTCAAAAACAAGAACAGTCAACTATCTTATCCTACTAGGGTAAAGACTGCTGATGTTTATTTTTCCTCAATACTAACATCAAATACAATTCAATAAAAGCAGTAGTATGATGTCAAATTAAGAGCAGTGGAGAGTGCCATTAACAATGGGGGTGCCCTCAGTCCAGAAGGCTCTGGGAAAGTGTGTTGGTGTATGTGCAACTACGCTTTCTCTTCTGCGTGACCACACTACTTCTGTTACTTTAAAAAAAAAATACTATATAAATTGGGAGCTTTAAAGGAGTGAGAATAGTGGGAGTGATATCTATAGCCTATCTAAGACACTGAAATAATGAAGATACATAATAGTGGCTGGATAGACTTTAATTTCTAAATCAAAAGAAAGGTTAAACTACATTTTGCGTGGTTTTACTGTCACTGTTATTATTTTAATTGGCATTATAACCCACAGTGGTAGAGACAGTTGTGATGAAAGGCTCTGACAGCCATAATTAAATAATTAGCTATCGATAAATTACATTACATTGAAAAGTGAAACTAATAAATATTCAGTTTAGTTATATATATATATATTGGAAGAGCTAACAACACTTCCAAATATAAATGTCTCTTTATATATTTTTTCTTCATTTTATAGTTTCCCCATTTCTGCCACAACAAAATGACCAAAAGAAACTTACTTTTGGACAATGACACTGTCTTCCACCAACTGCCTTTCTATTTAGTG